AATTTGGGACCATGATAATTTGAGCTTTGATATTATGCAGCTTCAGGGGCAGATATTTGATATTGGCCACTCCACCCTAAAGGTAGCAGAGCCTGAAGACTTGGCTGCATCAGTTCTTCATTCCCTGCAGGGATTCACTCTGGAAATGTGTTACAACACTCCTTTTGGTATTTCTTGGACATTTTGCTCTTTGTTGTTTTGATGTTACTTTCTCTGCAATTCTTCCTAAGATGTATGATCCACTCCTTTACCCAGGTCCAGGATATATATAGTTGCTCAATTTAAAAAATAAAATAGGGGGAAATGTTGCAGAAGCTGAGGTGCCAGGAGCTGGCAACGTGTGAGCAAAACCTCCCGGACATTGACTCCAACCCTCTGGGCTGCAAGTACTTTGCCCTTATATTTAAGGAAGTGTTTTTCTTGGTTTTGGGCCTGGGGGCTTGTATGGGAGAGTATGGTAGACAAAGATAGTTTGAAATAGAATGAGGAAGGATGTGTACTGTCCACCCTTGTTGGTGCGTGGGTCCTGAAACAATGTGATGCAAGCATTTTACAAATATAGAAAGTGTATATAGCTGAGGCTTTTGCTGAAATAAACAAAGTTTGCTTTCAGCCTTCTCTCCACCTCCATCAGTCCCTTTGACCCCGCGGAGCCCTTGTTCGTGCTATGGCTGGACCCTGGCAGTCTCACGAACTTGTTCGGCAGGCTAAATCGATGGTGCTCAGATCTCATCGTCTTAAGTAACAAGGATTATAGGTGTGTGCCACTGGGTCCTGGATAATCATCTATTTTTAAAAAGTGTTCCATAACAGTAATTCCTGTGTAATTGATGAAGTCTGTTAGGAGACCTGTTTTCCCATTACTTTCAGTCACTGGTTCCATGAGGGATTTTTCTTATCAAAGAATTCCCGGATGGTAAATGGCACAAATCAAATGAATGACAGTCCTGAGATCAGAAGAGCTGACAGCGACTCCAGGTGGATCAGGAACCCACAGCTGGGGAATGCTGCTGTGCACCCTCCCTGAGGCAGAGGCTGGGGCTGCAGCCCAGCTGCACTTTGGGGCCAGGCTGCAGGGTGTCTGGGAGCACTGTGCCTCTGCTGCACACAGGTAGGTGCCCGAGTCTTCCAGCTGGGAGGCAGAGATGTGCAGGCTGCTGTAGCGTTCCTTGGAATCCAGTGTTGACTGCAGCCTTCCCTTCTGCTTTGTTCCTGGAGTCATGAAGAATAGGCTGAGGAGGCCGCCGCCAGGATTCTGTCGGAACCACTGCACATTGTACACCGTGGTAGAGAAATTGCACCTCAGGGTCGAGCTGGCTCCATCCTGGAGCCTCTGGACTGAAGGGCTCTGCTCCACCTGCAGCCCTCTCAACCCTGGTGGAAAGAGAACAGCAGGCACAGATGGTGTCACAGGGAAATCACCAAGGCAGCTGCCAAGCCTGAGGACACCCCAGGAAATGCCCAGGATGGGGAACACAGCATAGGAGCTTTGTGGCAGCTGTCCCCTGTCAGCTCTGGAGCTCCCTGACCCTGCTTGTGATGGCCCCAACTCACAGCAAATCTGCACCCACAGAAGTCCCAGAGCAGCCCCCAGCCTCCTCCCCATGGCTCCTGGAATGTTTGCTGGGGTGATTTACCCAGCTCTGGAGGCAGCCAAGTCGTCAGCTCACACACACTTCTTTCCACAGGCAACAGGTTCCACCTGACTCACCAGAGCCAGTCAACTCTGAGCTCTGCCCTTCATCTAACAGGAAACCAGCCTCACTGCCTGAAGATACACAGCAGCCCCTGCTGTGAGGGCAGTGTAAGGGTCCCAGTCAGAGCTTCCAATGTGTGAGGAGGAAAGGATTGGTTTTATCTTGACAGAGTCCACCTAGAGAGAAGCTTGTGGGGAAGGCTGTGTGCTGGAGGTTGATGCCTCAGGGAAGGACCTCTGGCTCTACTGTGTTGAGTAGGGCCTTGAGGAGTTACAGAAATAGCAATCCCATTCCTTTAATACAAGCTTGCCAGAGAAGTTGAGAAATAATTCACATGAAAATCCTGAAAAAGGACAGTTTTGATAACATGCAATGTGCCTTAATATAAACACAGTTGTGTAAAATTACCAGGACACTGACTGCACAGAAATTGTTTCAACATTGGTTTGGCTGATTAAGAGAAAATAGGACAGACATAAGCTGTTCTGATTTCCTTCTCTCGTCTTCTCTCTCTCTTTGTTTTTTTCAGTCTGGTTGTGGGGCCTGAACTCTGGGCTTGGGCACTGTCCCTCAGCTCTTCAGCTCAAGGCTAGTGCTCTACCACTTGAGCCACAGCGCCACTTCTGGCTTTTTTCTTTTTTGCTTATGTAGTGCTGAGGAATCGAACTCAGGGTCTCAGGCATGCAAGGTAAGCGCTCTACCACTGAGCCACCTTCCCAGCCCTCCTCTTCTCTTTTCTGTCCAGCCCTTTCTCCTACTATCTGCAGGCCACACAGCAACTCTGCCCAGGCCTCACACAACCTCACTGAAGCCAAGACCACGTTCATCATCTGGAGAACTGCATGCTGTGTTCTCCCACAGATGTGACATGAGTCTTCTTTTACTTTCAGGGCTGGAGTTCTTAGTGACCCTCACAGATTAAGCAAGTTTGTGGGCTCTTACTGTTGTAGCAGAATGGGAAAGAAAGTCTTCTTGATAGTTGTTTATTATGTCTAGCCTCTCTGTACTGGCTGAAAGTCTCAACCAATCCAACTTCCTTTAGAATTAAGCGCTCTAACAATTTTTTCCCATTATCTTTAACTGGTTGTACAAATTCATCTTGACAGTTCCTAGGTATAACACATCTTGATCAATATAAACGTTTTAGTAATTCTTCCCATCTCTTCCAACTCCATCTGTTACCTCAAGTTACATAGTTTCATTGTCATATACGCACATTGACAAGTATGACTACATTTTCCCACTTTCCTTCCACCATTGTCTTTCCTGCTTCCCTTTGACATCACACCCTCAAATTCTGCAACACAATTCTCAGATTTGTGGTGTTCATTTTGTTACACAGTAAGTTAATTGCTTGAAGGAGTTACACCATTGGAATCTGCATATACCAGCTGTCCTTTAGTTAATTTGTTTATATATAGATATGATCCTATATGTATCTACATATAGTTTTAATTGTAATCTAACTTTTTCAAATGGGAGAAAACAAGCAACCTTAGTTTCTTTCAACCTGAATTATTATATTTAACATAATTTTTTCTAGGTCCATCTATTTCCTTGCAAATAATGTATGAACTAATCCACTAACTCTCAGGCCTATCTGATTTACCCATAATCTCAGTCTTTACACTTGTGATAGAGACAAGTGGGAGCTGTAATATTAATAAATACTAGAGGTAAAATATGTAAAAATCAGGTATCCTCACACCTCTGGATACTGTTTCCTTCAGTAAAAGTCAATCACTTCATCAACATAGAACAAAGTTGATTTTTGAGAGAGTAATATTTCTCCTCATTTCCAATGACTTTTCAGTTACCTGTTTTGGGGCAAACATCAGAAAATTTTAACCTGTGTTTGCTAAGGATTTCACAATGAAGTTCTCAGAAACTTAGTACTATAAACAAGTTTGCATTCTGTATTTCATTTTAATCACACTCTGGTCATAAATGCCACATTAGAGACCAGCATCTGATCTTTAGGTTTGAACTCTTGAATATTTTCCTCTTTACTTTAACTGGCATCTGGATGATTGACAAGTTACTGGATCATTCCCTAGGGCCCTGATTGCCCTGATTGCCCTGATTATAGTATCTCTCACTGTCAGAAACCTCTTTCGTTTTTTGTCATTGTGGGGCCTGAACTCTCGGCCTGAGAGCTTTCCCTCAGCTCTTCAGCTCAAGGCTAGAGCTCTACCACTTGAGCCACAGTATCACTTTTTCTATTTATGTGGTGTTGAGGAATCGACCCCATGGCCTCATGCATGCAAGGCAATCACTATACAACTGAGCCACCTTCCCAGCCCCAGAAACCCTTTTCTGTGAACATTAACAATAAGGCAATATTAACAAAAGAAAAGGGAGATATTCTCAACAATTTGTGCATACATAAGAAAGCATATATCCTTGGACAGTAATGGAAGACTTTGGCTTCACTTAAAATTTTTGTTTATATTTTAACTCTCTCCATCTGCTGACTAGAAAAAAAATCTCAACATTCCACACCAGTTACAAACAAACTCTGATGAGTAGGCCCTATGAAAACTGCCACTTGGGCATTCATAAATCAGATTGTATGTTACGTAAACCTGAATGACTTGGCATTCTGGAAACTGTTTTTGAGAAAGTCTCCTTTGAGCCCTGTCAAGTGACCTTATTAGGTACTGTTCACCAAAAGTTTTCCAAGAAAAGTACAAAGAATTAACTTTGATTGCATTTGAGAATTAGTTTGACATAATTCATTCCTAAATGACATTTAATTAAGAGATCTCCAGAAATTTCCAAGGCAGACTCTCCATAGATAATGAATACTCATACCAAAGCATAATGGCTCACACTTGTAATATCAGTCTTAGGTTGTAAATATAGGAGGATTTTAGTCTGAGGTCAGTCTAGGCAGAAACATGAGATTCTATTTAAAAAACAAACTGGTGCAAAATGCTGGAGGTGTGATTGGGTTGTAGTGTGCTTGCCTAACAAGCATGAGGGCCTGAGTTCAAGACCAGAATGCCAAAAGGAAATAAATGAGAGCTGGCCCAGGATCCATGGACCAACCTTATATTTTCATGAACAGCATTTTCTCAACAGCATTGTGGACATGACTGGAACCACTATCTTTGTAGTCCCTTGTTTTCTCCTTTTAAGGTTATTTTGTCATGTTAATAACAGAATCATGTTTCTATTTATAGTCTTTACTTAGGTATAGACCTTGGTATAGGCTTTGCTTGAGTCAGTGATCACACTGGCATAATTCACAGCCACTGTTGTGTTACAAAGTAAAAAATCTGTTCCATTTATAATTCAGTGCTACTGCTTGGGAATTCCAAAGAAGTAGATGGTCCCAACTAGAATAGACAAAGTGAATTTTGATCAATAAAATCAGCCCGGTTAATTGTTATAAAAAATCTATTGATGAAAATTTAAGCTAGAGCTGGGGCCACTAAAATTACAAAGAACACAATTCAAACTGAATGTATAACATGGTATAATCCTCAACTGTGCCAACCAGTTGTCATGGTTTTGTAGAACAAAAATGAGTACATGAATTTATGCAGTGTATTAGAATTCAATATTCATGAACAGATATGCACAAAACATGTTTGTTGTTCTTTATATTAATTTTAAAACAAAATTAGGACTCTGAGAAAATAAGATAATTATGCTTTCTGTTTTTCTCTGATGGAGCTCTGCCTAATTTATTATTATGTTCTCAATGTAGAAATAAAAACCAAAGCCATGTTAAAATGAGAGGCAAAAGGAGCTCTCTCTCCACATCAGATTCTATTTCACCAAATCCCTGACAGTTATAGGTAGATATAATTCAGCTAAGGGGCCTGAGATGGGAAGAGCATGATTGATTATGAGAGCTTAGTGCAATCACATATATGGTTAAAGAGAGATTGACAAGAAAAGAAGAGATTCCAGTGCAACCAAGGAGGCAGAGTCAGGAATGATGCAGCCACAGGTTGAGAAAAGGCAGCAACCATCAGAGCTAGAAGAGATAGCAAACACATTTGCTCCTGCTGACATCTTGATTCCAGCCCTGGAAAATGAATTCCAACCTCACACTTTCAGAACTGTGAAGAAAAAAAACGTATTTTCATATTTTAAGATTCAGAAGAAAAAGAAGAAAGCAGACAACTATGACCAAGATCTAAAACTTAAATGTGTATGAGTCTGAAATACAGACTCTCTACTATACCAGACTCTGAGTTTGGATTGTGCACAATCTGGGTACATAATTGTGGTTTGTTTTCTTTTTCTTTTTTCTTTTTGGTCCAGTCGTGAACTCTGGGCCTGAGTTCTGTCCCTCAGCTCTTCAGCTCAAGGCTAGCGCTCTACCACTTGAGCCACAATGCCACTTCCAGCTTTTTTCTTTTTGCTTATGTGGTGCTGAGGAATCGAACCCAGGGCCTCAGGCATGCAAGGCAAGCGCTCTACCATTGTGCTAACTTCCCAGCCTGTGGTTTGTTTTCTTATCACCTTAAGAAAACACAGCAGTTAAGCCAATGAAATTATATCAACTATATTTTAATTTTTTAATTTTTTTATTGTGAAAATACTGTACAGAGGGGTTATAATTACATGGTCAAGATAATGAGTACATTTCTTATCAAGCATTGTAGCCTCCTCCTTTGTTTCCCCTTCCCATCCCTTCCCATCCTCCCACCACGCCCCCCCCCCCCACCAAAGGTATAAAGTTCGTTTTCGACATAATGACTTGTATATCTCATTGTTGCAATGGGTCCACCTGTATCCTTATTTAAGTGATTTATATCAACTATTTTATAACCAAGAAATAAAGCAAAAAAATATAAGCCCTGGTTTCCTTCCTACTCACAATCAATCTTGGGAGAATTAGACTGACCAAGAGTAGACTTGCTTCTGTGGACCAGGAGCTAGTTTTGTAGTGAGGGAAATGAGAAAAGCTGGGGGGGGGGGTGGGCTACAATATTGATCTTTCTTGTTGATAACTAGTATATTTCAATGACACTGCCTATAAGAGCAAGTCAATTCGCTGATGAGTAACATCTACAATTCAGCTAGCAGAAACTGTTCTCCCTAAAAGAATCTTCAATTACATTCATCCTTACACAGAGATGGAAAGAACAGAGGATCAATCATTTACAAGATAATTTTTTATTGAATTGTCAACAACACTAGAGGATGTGTTCTTAAAAATTTTAGGATAAAGCCAGGTGTTGGTGGGTGATACCTATAATCCTAGCTACTAAGTTGGCTGAGATCTGAAGATCGTGGTTCAAAACCAGCCCAGGCATGAAAGTCCATGAGACTCTTATCTCCAATTAACCACCAGAAAACTGGAAGTGGTGCTATGGCTCAATTAGTAGAGTGCTTGCCTTAAGCTGAAGAGCTGAGGGACGGTGCTCAGGCCCAGAGTTCAAGCCCCATGACTGACAAAAAAATTAGGATAAAATAAATAGCTTGGTCAAAAATTGAGGATAAAGTAATAATCCACTACTATGCGATGAGTAATGTAGATGATAAATGATACATATAACTCTTTATATAACTAGAAATATAAGGTGACAATAAATGGTATGCAAGGAGTAAATTTAACTATCTTGAAATAATGGAGATTTATTGAGAATGACGAATAAAAATATTTTTTAACTAAATTGTACTGTGAATCAAGGATTACAACATTACATTATTGGGTGAATATAAACAATAAATGAAATACTACAGATGTCTATCCTTTTACTAAGTTAGTTTTTTGATCATTTGAGAATATTAAGAACACAAAAAACACTTATTTGAGAAAAATTGCAATACAGTGTAATATTATTAGCTATGGTCCTTATATTGTACATAAGATCTGTGCAACTGTTGATTGTACGTATCAACTTCTTTGAATCTATTGACCAAATTCTCCTAGCAGATAATCTGGATACAGAACTGTCAATTTTAAATTTTGATGTTTCATTTAATTAACAGATTTTGTATAATGGTGCATCAGAGAAAGTAACATGAAACGTTCAAAAGATTCCAATTCCATGCACAAGAGACAGGCAATATTTAAACTAGAAATTTTCATATGGAGAAGTTTAATCGTGAAACTAATAAATGAATTTCAAGAAACTATCATGCTAGGTACTATTGGCTCACACTTGTTATCCTAGCTATGCAAAAGGCTGAAATCTGAGGACCATGGTTTGAAGTCAACCCAAGGAAGAGAGTCCATGAGTCTCTTATTTCGAATTTCCTACCACAAAGCTGGATATTGAACTGGGGTTCAGTGGTAGAGCACCAGCTTTGAGCACAAAGTTCAAAGTGGGTGCTCAGGCCCTGAGTTCAAGTCTAAGTACTTGCAAAAGAAAAAAGAAAAGATAATATCATTAGTTCCTTTTAACAATCCATTAAATGTAGCTTTAAGATTGCTGAACCTGAGGATGAGCCTGGATTTGGCATGCCCAGAGAGGTTGGGAAATGAGACCTATGTTCCGTCACTAAACTTAGCTCTACCCATTTTTTTTTTTACCTCATATAAAAATACTGAGTACATAGAGAAGCAATCACTTCACAAACATTCACCCTACAAAAGGTTCTCAACTGCCAGTGTCTCCTTCAACCTAATCTTCTTATAAATACTTAATTTCTGTGTGTTCTGCTACTTTTTTTTTTTTTTTGTCGGTTGTGGGGCTTGAACTCTCTGCTTGGGCGCTGTCCTTGTGCTTTCAGCTCAAAGTGAGTACTGCTTGAGCCACAGCGCCACTTCCGGCTTTCTAGTGGTTTATTGGAGATAAGAGTCTCATGGACTTTCCTGCTCGGGTAGGCTTTAAATGGCTATCCTCAGATCTCAGGCTCCTGAGTAGCTAGGATTACAGGCATGAGCCACCAGTGCCCGGCATGTTCTGCTACTTATAGACAGACATTAAGCAAATGCTGTGCTGGAAGGGCTGTGGTGAAGAAAAGGGCTAGCTGCAACCATGGTGGCAGGTTTGAGGATGGGCTGCAGGTGCCTGGGGAGCAATGTGTACTTGCTGCACAGTAGTAGACAGCTGAGTCCTCAGGCTGGGTATCTTTGATGTGCAGGGAAAGGTGTTTGTCATTCTTCTTCAATAAGACTAGGAGTTTTCCATTTTCATTTCTGTCCCGATTTGAACGGATGTCTATAATATGCTGGGGACCCTGTCCTGGCTCTTGCTTGTACCAAGGGAAGTAGACTGAGGCACTGTCCGTGTAAGTACAATTGATGACACAGCTGTCTCCCTCCTGCACACTCAGGACAGAAGGACTCTGCTCCACCTTCTCTCCTTGGCTCAGCACTACATACAGAGAAAGACAGAAAGGAGACAGTTAGGTCAGTACTCTTCAGAATGGTCTTTTCCTACAGTAACTATAGACAGTTTGGATAACCTGATCTTCTCCTGGATATCTAAAGAAATCCCCACTAATATATGGTTTCCCTTAATCCTCAACTCACAGTGCAGCTGCAGCCACAGGATCAGGAATAAATCATGAATCAATCTCTTCATTTTTCTTCCCAAGTAGAATCAGTTGAAGACTTAAGATCTCCTATCTGGATGTCACTTCTGTTACCAAGTTGTCTCCCTTTTCTGAGATGCCTACATAGCCAATAAGAAAAAGATTTGCTTTTGTCTTTGGCCTATTCATTTAGAATCCACTAAAATGAACATATTGTATATCTGCTGAGTTTCACTGCCACCTTGTGGTCACAACCCTAACTACTGAACTCTGGTTAAATGTATGGGTACCTAAGCCAAGCCAACAACACAAAACAGCAATAGGTTAAGTAAAGTTAAATAAAATGTCTTGATAAAGGAGTAAATGTACAGTAAGTATGTAGGGATCAACATTGATATTTTGTCACAGTTGAATCACTTTTTGGTAGCATTAAGATTTGAACTCAAGGCCTCATACTTCCACTGAAATGTGTGTGTGTGTGTGTGTGTGTGTGTGTGTGTGTGTGTGTGTGTGTATGTGGGTTTACATCAAACATTATGAAGGTCCTTTAATCTTACAAATTTATAGGTTTTTCTCTTTTTCCATCAAAAACCATTCACATCTATGCTATCTCATTGTGTTTGTGAGAATAATTTTAGGGAAACCTAATATTGTCTGTGTCTGCAAAAAGAAATTGATCCTAAAGAACTGACCATAATCAATAATATCAGAAAAACCAAGATGATCTCATTTCAGGAAGCAATGTTATGCTTAGAGTCCCATGAGTTGTGGGAAATGAATCTAATCCCTTATTCATGATTCACAGACTTAAATATTTTAGAATAGCTGTGATGATAAGCCTTAAACTCAACTCAGTTTAGAATTCACATTTCCGTGCGCACACACACACCACACACATTCCTATATGAAATATATAGAAAAGTACACGCATGAGATGATTATTGTGAGTGTATAACATTTCCCTTTCAAAGGCTTTTGTTCTCCTTCTCATGTCCTATAATGGAATTCTCAAATCAATCACTGGGCAATGTTTTCTCTGCTTTGAGACAGATATTTTAGGACAGTATCATACTGTTGAGTCATGGCATCCAGGTAAGGATATTTTTAACACTTTGATGGACTAAGTTTCAGGAAGCCAATATATACCGTCATCTCAGTTTCCTTCACCATTTGACTGACAATGTTTGAGGTTTATTATGTCGCTTTCCTGCCTTCAAAGCACAGTCATTGGGATAACGAATATCATTATTACTTTTAGAAAAGTCCTTATAAATTATACGGTGGAGAGGACAACACTGTCCCCTTTGGCTCACTCTCCAGCAGCCAGTAGAATATCCTTAGCTCACTCAAGTCTCCTTTCTTGACCACTGTGTCACACATTTACACAAACTGGAACTCCATTGTGGAAGCTCAATGGACTAAGACTATTCCACATTCAAGCAGCAGAGCTCAGTTTTGGGCGTTTCATTATAACAGTTTCTCCTCACTCAGCAAATGGCTCAGAAAGAATGAGGCAAGGAGAAAATTCTCAGGAGGAAGTGAGGAATTGGAATTTCTTTCTGTGGACCCCTAATTACTAGTTATTTCATACCAGTATCTTGTACTTTCTTTCTACCTTTGTAAACTGAACACTGAGCAAGATCTGACCATTTATAACCATCTTTTATACTGTTTAACAGAGAATAATGCTGTTTGAGCGCTGTGTGAAATGTGGAGTAGTATAAGGGCTGGGTGAAATTGTACTACATCATGGACATCCAACACCATTTCATGTTCATCAATGAGCCAGTATGTGTGAATTCTCTCTAATCATTTTTTAATGCTTCTTCAGAAGCAGAAATAAATAATCAGGGTGTGATTTTTCCTGGTTTCATCTTTCTCTAATGTAAATAATGGGTGGTGTAGATCTCTAAACAGAAAAAAAAACAAAATAAAATAGAATTCTGCACAGAAGTAGTGGGACAAAGTATGAACTGAATCAGCAGTGATACTCACTAGACCCTATGTTGGACTATATGTACTATATGTACTATATGGACATTATGGACTATACAACTTGGGAAGGGAGAGCAGTTGGGACGTAAAAAACTGGAAGAAAATGAAGATAATGTACTCATTATTTAACTTGTGTAACTGTAACCCCTCTGAACATCACCTTTACAATAAAAATTAAAAAAAATAAAATGTAACTAAGTAATAAAGGTCATCACAACTAGTAATATATGGGTGGACTCCACAGTCTGAGCATGGGTCAGTAGAATGCTCTATTGTGATGATGTACTTATTTTATTGGTGTATCCACATTACAGCAGACCCTTGACATCTGCAGGTCTGTGGTTTCAAGCAGAGTGTCATTGTGGAAAAGCATAAAATTTCAGAATGCACAGTATTCAGCATTGTATTATAGATGCTTGGTTCATCATTCTCATAATGCTGCCATGACCTTTGCCTTGTTTTATGGTACTATTTGAATACAGGGAGCAGATTTACACAAAATTAAGGGTAGGAAACACTCAGCAGATCTCACAATGATTTAAATATATGTAATGTTATGTCCTTTGGGGCTAAGAACTTTTTGAAACTCTTTAATGAAATGTAAAGGGAAAGATCACTACCAGACTTATTCTATGAAGTCAGCATAGTGCTCAAAACCACATAGGGACCCATCAAAGAAAGAAAACTATAGACCCACCTCTTTGATAAATGTTGATGAAAAACTCCTCAACAAAATTCTGGCCAACCAAATTCAACAGCTAACAAAAAACCATATATTACAATCCAACAGGATTCATTCCAGGTTTGCAAGGTTGGTTCAATATACACAAGTCAAGTAATGTAATTCAACACATTAACAGAAGCTAGGACAAGAACTGCATAATTTTGTATGCCAACAATGAGAAGAGCAATGCTGAAATCAAGAAGTCAATTCCATTTGTAATAGCCTCAAAAAATTAAATACTTGGGAATTAACTTAATCAAAGATATGAAGGACCTCTATTGTGAAAACTTTAAAACTCTGAAAAAAGAAATTGAAGCAGACTTAAGGAAATGGAAAAAAAAAAACATTCCATGCTCCTGGTTGGGAAGAATTAACATATTAAAATGGCAATGCTGCCCAGAGCAATATACAAATTCAATGCAATACCCATAAAAATCCCAACAACATTCTTCAAAGAAATAGAGAAATCAATGTAAAAATTCATGTGGAATAATCAAAGACCCGGAATAGCAAAAACAATCCTTAGCAGGAAGAACAGCACTGTAGGAATAACAATATTGAACTTCAAGCTTTATTGCAAAGCCATAATAATAAAGACAGCTTGATACTGGCACAAGAATAGGTCTGAGGACCAATGAAACAGAAGATCCATAAATGAGCCCACAAACAAAACAAAAGGTTGGAAGAAAGACAGACTCTTCAATAAAGGGTTTTGGAAAAATTGTCTGTCTAAGTATAGAAAACTGAAGCTAGTTACCCATATATCACCTTGCACCAGAATCAACTCTAAATAGATTGAAGACCTCAATGTCAGGCCAGATACTGTGAAAATATTACAGGAAAGGGAATCTGTAATTTAGCCAAGGGCCTCATATCTAAAATATACTTAAGAAAGAGTTCAAAAAATTAAAGCTCCCCAAAACAAATCATCAAAGAAACAAAAAAATCAGTTATTAAATGGGTACAGACTTAAAGAGACATCTCTGAGGAAGAAATAAGAAGGGCCAATCAACACATGTAGAGATGTTCAACATCTCTGGCCATAAAAGAAGTGCAAATCAAAACAATATTGAGATTCCATCTCATTCCAGTTAGAATGGCCATTATTAGGAAAACTAACAGTAACAAATGATGTCAGGGATGTAGGCAAAATGGAACCCTATTACATTATTGGTGGGAATATAAACTCTGGAAAGCAGTATGAAATTTCCTTAAAAGACTAAACATAGAGCTTTCCTATGACCCAGCAACTCAACTCCTATGCATTTATCCAATGGCCAACAAACCAGGCCAAATTAAAGCCACCATCACAGTCATGTTCATTGCAGCATTGTTTACCATAGCCAAAATATGGAATCAACCTACCTCAGTAGATGAATGGATCAAGACAATGTGATACACACACACACACAAACACAGACACAGACACAGACACACACACACACACACACACACACACACAATGGAATTCTATTCATCCATCAAAAAAATGATATTGTACCATTTGTAAGGAAAAGGAAAGGCTTGGAAAAAAAATCATAGCCAGCAAAGTAAGCCATAGCCAAATAAACGTAGGCTGCATGTTTGCTCTCATTTGTGGCATCTAGAATGTGCCTATAAATCTACAAGTACGTACACAGAATGACTAAAATAAATAAATAAGTAAATAAATAAATATGCACACATTCTGTGACATGATAAATTGTATAGGACCATAGTCATTAACATACAAAGGCCAAAGGAGGATATGCATAAGAGTGGTGGAGAAAGGCTCAGTACCTATGAACAGATGATCAGATGAAATAATATTGTATGAAATCAAATTAAAAAAAGGGAACAGGAGACATTTTAATTGCGATTGTTGCTGTTTTTGCTTTATTTTACTTTTATCTTGTTAGTTTGTATTTGGGAGGGTAAAAGAAGGCACATAAAAGTGGAACAACATACAGCCAGCATTATACTCAATGGTGAAAAACTAAAGCCATTTCCTCTTAACTCAGGAACAAGACAAGGATGCCCACTCTATCCACTTCTTTTCAATGTAGTATTAGAATGCCTAGCTACAGCAATAAGACAAGATGCAGACATAAAGGGGATCCAAATAGGGAAAGAAGAAATAAAACTCTCCCTCTTTGCAGATGACATGATCTTGTATTTAGAGAATCCCATAGACTCCACTCCCAAATTACTCAAGCTGATTCAAAACTTTGGCAAAGTAGCAGGTTATAAAATTAACCCCCAAAAATCAATGGCTTTTCTGTATGCCAACAATGAGAAAAGTGTGGCTGAAATTAGGAAACCAACTCCATTTGTAATAGCCCCACAAAAAATAAAATACCTAGGAATTAACTTAACCAAAGAAGTGAAGGACCTCTATGATGAAAA